TAATCTTGGACCTTACCCCTGGTATACAAGGGGACCACAGACAGATTTGCCCCGACCAGCCAACCTAAACCTGCAGCCCCACAAGTAGGTGCCACATTCGGTCAGCTTAGGAAGGCAAGAATGTACTGGTGAAAAAAGATGAAGAAAAAGAAGGAAGAATGGTTCTGTTGGGGGTATACTGCCATGTCGGGCATTCATGCTCAAATTTTCCAAGAGGAGTGGTGCCAAAGATTTTGAGACAACTACCTTCTTCCCCCAAATACAACATACGGTCGTTATAGCTGTATTTAGACTGAAAGGTACCCCAAATACAGCTATAATGACCGTACGTTGTATTCGGGGGAAGAAGGTAGCTTTGTAGGAGGTCCACGAGCAGCGATGCCAAAGTTTTTGTAGGTGGTCTGCTGCATCTGTCAGTCTGCTGACCTGGGGCCAAACCTTACACTCCTATTTTTCTTAAATTTTCTTAAAAAATAGAAATAAATTATTTTTATGTGTAAGATTTTTTTCCCCTTTTTTGTGTATACTGTTACATGCTGCGCCTGCAACAGGCTGCACGGGACCCCTTTCAGGCCCGTGACGTTTTCAGGCCAAAAGCCTGAAAATAAGGGCCTACAGGTCCCGTGTCGTTTCAGCCTGAAAACCTGAAGACAAGGGCCTACAGGCCCTGTGTCGTTTCAGGCTAAATCAGGGCCTTTCCGACCCTGAGTGTTTTCAGCCTGAAACTGAGGGCCATTTTCAGGCCCTCATCAGTTCGACCCGCCCTGAAACTCAGGCAACAAGCCAGGGTTTTAGCACAGGCCATTTCAGGCCTGTTTTCAAGACAACCCCTGGTTGAGCTTCAACGCCAGGGTCTGGCACGTTTCGGCACTGGCAAGAGCAGCCTCCTGGACGGGCCAGCACTATATATGACTGGCTCGCCCTGCAGGCAGGCAGGTAGTTCCTAGGTACTTCCCAGGCACTTCACGTGCAGTTCAGGAGGCAGGAGGTAGTCTTCAGGATTCGGCAGCAGCACTCTGGAGGAGCGCTGCAGGAGTAGTAGTAGCGCTAGCAGTAGTCTTCAGCGCTGGGCGCCATAGGAGCTAGAGTAGTACTAGAGAGAGAGAGAGAGAGAGAGAGAGAGAGATTGGGCGGAGGCCAGGGGAGACTTACCTGCAGCGCCATTGCTCCAGCTTCGTCTTCGAGGTACCTGCAGCACAGGGCCATCTTCACAGGTCAGTACCTGGCACATGAGAGAGAGAGAGTTCTTCTTCTTCCTCTTCTTCAGTCCACCATCTCCTTCTCACCCTCTCGCTATCTGACTTCACTGCATCAGCAGACTACGAGAGAGAGAGAGAGAGAGAGAGA